TGTTATCACTTTTGATCACGTACCTTCCTTGACCGCGTCCAACTCCCCACGCAACATGTACGAGTCAAGGCTCCACTGTTATCGCGAAGGCCGCAACGAAATGAGAAGTACTCACATTGCCATCCACGGCTCTGTCCGACCCACCATACAAGATGTAACAGCCAATACTCCACTGTCATCGCTAAGGCCATAACGAAAGTGGCGACGCTCACACTCCGATGCCCCTATCAGCTCTTATCAGTCGCTATCACTTTCTATCTTCTAGACTCTTGTTCCCCATCTCACCCTGCATATGCAACACATACATATGAGGATACAGATTCTACTGTTATCGCGAAGGGCATAACTAAGTCAGTGTCACTTGCTTTTCGACGCCCATTGTCATAATCAGCAGCTACTACTTTTCATCACCAACCATCCACGTCTGCGTCCACTCCGCTATGTTTCCACAGCTCTGTGACCAAAGAGAGCGAAGTTATGAATTTCCGGTCAGGCAGACACACACTACCACTTAGCGGGTTATATACAGTAGGATCTTTTCCTCTTACAAATGGGAGCACTTCACTATCACAGTAAAGAAGTAGAGTAAATTCTGTGATGAATTTAAGCGCTCTTTTACATAGTACTTGTCAGTTATCACTTTCCACCACCTACCACCTCTATCCCCGTCCTATCCGTCCTATCTCCCATCTCATATGTATGAACGAATGCTCTTGCGTTGTTACACTTATGCGGCCATGTGTGTTTATAAGTGTCATCATTGCAGTCACGATGGACGACAAGGTAAAAGGAGATCCTGTGCAGGATAGGCTCTGGTTATCTCTAGTGTGGCTAGCTACGAGCTCCATGATCGCTGCCCATAGGTAAGATCTGATTTGCCATACCAGGATGTGCTGCTATAGGAGGACTGTTCTATTCATCATGTGCTTTGTAGGAAACAAAACTTCAATGAACAAGGCCAGAACCACAGGTATAACTTTGAGTTAGAGGACGAACAGCGAGCTTGATGACACGCTCATACTGGCATATAGGCAGACATGAGACTATAGACGAATAGTTTGTGAAATGAAATAAGTTATACGAGAGATTACTCTGCTGCACGATTGAAGATTCCTCGTAACATTTTTTTGAACCTGCTGACCTTTTGGCGTGAGACTTTTCATACCGATGAATAGAGATGGAGTGAAGCCATACGCGAGTGCTCTGTATTATATAAAATAAAAAAAAAACCCCACAGTAAGGGTTTTCGACCAACAAATCTCGAGAGTAAACAGCCTGAGAGGACTCAACATACATAAAAAACCGCTACAATGATTGACCGCGCGAGGTATGCAGCGGTCGTTCATTTCGCTATATCATCAGAAACAGTTGAAGTGACGTTCATGCGTGTACAAGCACGCGTTCATGTCGGGTCCTAAAGGAACATATGTATCCTACTCAATATAAAGCACTTCGTCTGTCGTCTGTCTATCTGTCGATCTGTATGTCCACCACGAAATTCCCTAGCTTCTGGAGATTCCTTGGACATCAGGGACGGTAGCAAAGTACCCTTAACTCGCAATCAGAAGTAACGATCGGAGATTCTAAGCAAAGAATAAAGAATGGAGAGTGCGATCCAGCCCAGATCAAGCAAGAGCTTCCTACTTTAGATTTCAGACGACAAAATATCAGGAAACGAATAAATAAGAAAAAAAAGGTTGCAAAAGTACCTGAAGATTATGGATCGCAGCTGCATTCTTTGATTCCTAACAGGTTGAGCTGGTCAGAGAAGAAAAAAGAGCACGGGATTGAAGAGGCGCAGTCACCACGTCTGACACGTATGACCCTCCAGTAAAAAGTCCTTCGGAGTACTTTTTACTCGTGGGTCAACGTGGCGTCTGCGCCTCCTCGACCTCACACTATTTCTTTTCTCTGCCTAATTACGAATTAGGTTTACAAGTTAACTCTCTAACTACTAATTAAAATGGTTTTTTTGGTTATGATCTAACTGTAGGTTAAACAAGACTTAATGTGTTGAGAAGCGCTCTGAACCTGTTATCTAAACTGACTTTGGTCTGAGCTAATCTCGACACGTTAAGTCTGAATTAATGAAGGTTTGCTACCGTCCCAGATCATTTTGGGATGATTTCACTGCCCGCGGAGAATGGACAAAACACTGCATCAGCCAAGCGAACCCTTGCCCACAGTAGGTGTGGCGTGCCTCGAAGTGGGTGATGCTAACGACCAGCATTTCAGATACTACTTCAAAATCGCCTCGGAACAAAGGAAAAAAGTAGGTAAAGGCTCACATTGGTAAGTCGGATCGAATTAGGAGGATGCACCCCCAGTAGGCGGCCTCCAGGCGTGGCCCGCCGCAATTTTCACTTCCTCTACAGCACCCAATCAATACTGTGATTCCCAACCAGGGGTCAACCCTATCGTTGTTACTCTTTGGAAATTTTTTACGACCCCCCCCCTTCATGGGTGATTTGATACGACCCCCCTTGTATGTAACACTTGTGTAGAGACAGTGTTGCCATCAATATTTATTGCTACGTAAGTCCCTTTGGCCTCCTGACGGTGGAGCGCATTTGCTCACGGTGAAGAGGCGTCGAACGGGGAGTGTGGAAATTCGAGGAGTTTTTCTTTTTTACATTTCAGGTAGTTTGGAAGATTCAGGTGGATTTTGGATCGATGTGGCTCCTCCTTCCTAACGAGTGCTCATTTGTTCTCAAACACTTCGGAATGAATAAGTTATTAGACAAAAAATAAAATTGCAAGAGATTTTTACACTCCTCTTTCTAGGGCTATAACTTCCTTCATATTCGAGCTTCAGCGCCGAAGTGATTTGATTTGGAAAATTCAAATTATTTTCTATCCAACCATGGGTAAAAATTCTTCGGAAAGTCAATTTAGTAAAAATTTTGTACGTTGTTACTTTTTCTGTGCAAAGGCGACTTTTTGACCTTCAAACGATCATAACTTCCTTCAAAGTCATTCATTTGGGAAGCTGAACACGTATAATAAACTACAGGATTCAAGCTTTCTAACGAGCACCCAAGCGTTCCTGAAAGATCAGCAGTTCAAAAATTAGTCCCGTTGTTACTTTTATTTTGTTACTTTTTATTTTGAGGGGTATTCTTCAAGCCATTTTCTCGAAAACGCGAGTTTTCTTAGGTTTCACTGCCCGTAACTTCTTGGAAGACCAATTTTATGTTTAATTAGGATGTGCTAGAAAGCTCCGAGCATGCGCTTGCACTACATCCCTTGCCTTGGTGCGCGCCACGCCTCGGGCGCCCTTCTAATTCGCTGATTCATTTGAAAGCTCATTTAGAGGGAAGCGTGTTTATAGATGCTCTAGTATCAGTCATCTTACGAAAACGTAACGTGCTGGCTATTATCCGATATTACCAAGAATCCCACTGTCGGCCACCGAGAGGGTACGACCCCCCCCCCTCCAAGCTCAACTGAGTACGACCCCCCCGTTGTTACTCGTAACAACGTAGGGTTGACCCTGTTCCCAACTTCCATTTTACAACAGCATCCGATAATTCCGTGATTACCCACCTCATTTGAGTCTTCTGCGCAAAATCGGAATTTTCAACAGAGTTTGACGTGAGCCCCGCCCATCCGGCAGAGGCTCGCCCACTACAGTAACCACTTTCGGCGAGCCTTGCCCTACTTGCCGTACGTTGTATCTAAATGGAACGCAGAATGTCCATTCGTATTCGAAATGGAATTTATGGCACTGTCAAACCCCGCGGAACAAGCCTCGCCCAGCTGGTTGGGTCTCACCTATTACCGTACCCACTTTTAGCTACAATCTGCGCTATCTATGTAAGTGAGAAAGCAGAATGCTCCATTCACACATACAAAACAAAGTGCAGATCTCGACACTTTCATAGGGACTTTCGAATAAGCCTCTCTCATCGGGTCGGGCTCCACACACCACCGTCCCCACTTTTAGCACGATCTCCTCTCATTCGTACAAGCCCTAAACCAGGTGTCAGATTTTGCGAATCCGTGGAATTCGCTATAACAAACGCGGCCACATGGCGGAGACCGAAACGAAAGATGTACCGCCAATCGAACCTGTCAATACCGGACTCGACAGTGTTTGAGAGGTGGCGAGTCACCTCTATCCATATGGTTACTAGCTCGCCCCTTTCCCAGACTCAGTGGGCATGAGAAAACGGGAGAACATAGGGGCCAGGGAAAGTAGCAAGATCAACGTGCGAACGAGAAAGCTGGGAGAGCTTCTAGCTCTTCATTGCTCACTTTCAAGCTGTTGAAGCAGCACGACATAAACGCTTGCACGCCAGTCTACCATAGATAGAGATGGAAGAAAAAGGTGGATGCGCACTTTCCCTCCGAGCCTTGCTTCTAACTTACCACTTACACTTTCATTCCATCCTGCTCTGCACAATGTTTTTTTTTGTTTTTGTAGGCTATTCTGAAAATTACAGTGTTCCTTCGCTTAGACCGTTGCGAATTCGAGACAAGTCGTCAGATCTTTATTGAGTGCCTACTACTGGGCAGTCATCAACTCCGATCAGCGTTTAATTTGCCAATGCCAAACACGATATCTGGCGCCGTTTTCGGTCTGCCAAAGAAGTCGTTGTTCGGTATTGGAGACCGCGTCAAGATTGACGCAGGCTAGCAGGCCTAAGCACAATTAGCGATCGGCAAGTATCAGCGTGAAAACATAAATGCTTTGAGTGTACAATAAAGGAACTTCTGATAGAAAACTCATTCTTAGTAACTAGATGGGTGAGAAATGGCGAAAGAAACGAGACAGGAACGAAAAAAGAGAGGAGTGAAAAGAAGGGAATCTACGAAGAAGGCAGTAGGGCAGCTGAAGGTGTGTGTGTCTTTTGCATCTAATTCGCATCGGGCTTATCGCCATTGTTGCTCCACGAATGATGCGTGTCACCAAAGCCGGCGTTCGACCATAGACTGAAGTCGGCGCCTGCGAAAATGTTGAACGGAGCATTCGCATCCACTGGTGCCCACAGTAGTTCCTAGCCGACAATCCGAGCGACGTGGAGGTCATACGACATATCTGGAGCAGCAGTAGAAGATGACATAGCATTCGAGTGTTCGTTCCACTGGCCAGCAAGTGAAGAACGTGACCCAATCGGTGTAGGAGGCCATAGCCTTGAGCTGGCCTGAACAGCGATACTCATCCTGAGCGAATTATGGAGCAAAAGAAACACTCACGCTAGTTCTCTCGTCAGCTTCAATGAGCGAGCCTAGGTGAAGGTCCGGCATTGGCCAATCGCCAAGACCACCTAAAAGGCAAAATGAAATCTTCGGAAGAGGCTCACGATTCCGAGATGAGTTTTGTTTCCGGATAACGACCATAAAGTGGCAAGTTGTAAATATCGACAAACAAAAATAAACACAACTACTCACTATATACTCAAACACGCTCAACAGTGAATGTTGAGGTGGAAATTGGGCCAAATTGAGAAACGAGGCAATGCCTAGTTTGATGCCAAATTTGGAAATATCTCAGCTTTCATTACGAATTTAACCAAAATTTCTAAACAAAAGTTGCTCAATTGAATATCACCACACATGTCTGCGTTAACAGTCCTCCTCTCTCTTCAATCAAAGAATAGCTCCATCTCCCACAACTATATGTTCACCCAAATACTGTTAGGAGGCGTTCGCGATCAACGTAGTCATTCTTCTTTAGGAACAATGGAACAGTAGAGCGGAACAAGTGAAATCAGGTTGTTGCGAAACCCCAAGAATATGATGGATGAGAATATACACAAAGCCAAGTCCATGTGTGCTTTTCCGAATTTGTTCAGTAACATGTAGTTCGAGAGCTGTCGCAGGTCAATAAAAGATGCCCATCCAGCCATAATGTCCAAAACCTGGCGGAATCCAGAGCATGTGCAAGCAGTAAGCTGGCAGTGTCGCGGCGGTGCTATCGCATAGTTTGAAAAACTTAGCGTGCTACTGTGAAAGGAGAACAAAACCTCTAAGCAAAGGGTTGCCTCTCTATTTCGCTTTAAAGGAATCTTGCGCGGAAAAATCATGATTCTATTTCAGCCATAAATCACTGGCTTGAGACTCATTATCCACGATAATAGTGAAAAGAACTGAAGTATTGCTTTCGTTTTGATTAGAAATTCGAAAACTCGAAAAGGCTGCTACGCGTTCGAATTGCCCACGGACGTCTTTCACGAATGCTGGCGACGGGGATGCTCAAACTTGGTTCTTGGAGTGCATTCACTAGAAGCTCTTTCTGGCCTTCTGCTTCGTTGCATTCACATCTTACACTTCTACTCCATCCTATTCCATCGATCGATTTGTCTCCACTCTCCGAAATCGCGCGCTTTAACCCGATTCTCTCATTGCGTCGCCTGGTACGTAGCCGGCCAAACGCCGTCTTCTTTCCATGCCTCGCCTGGCTCTGCCTCCTGGTCCTTCGATGGTCCATAACGTGTAGTTTTTGTACGTTTGTTTCTCTTCAGAAACCGAATCTTCATGCGTGAAACTTTGTGTGCTATTTCCAGTGATCACAACTGACATATTCATGTTAGGAAAGAGTGCAAGAATTTTCCGCGCAAGATTCCTTTAACTGTGGAGTTGCAACTACACACCCCCTGTATGTAGCTCATGAAAAATATCCATTTCTCGTAACTACGGACTCCTTGTCGAACCAGTAATTTTGATGGCGACAGCAAGGTCTGCCAAACGCTAATTAATCGTAGTGGCAGTCTCCAAGAAACCCCTAGAACCAGCGGTTCGAAGCCGTGGGCACTCTCTCAAATTGTTGAGGCCAACTCAGTGTCCCCAGAGCAGCCCCAACAAATTTGCCTGAGATCTATTGTTTCAGCTTATAAGATTTCCCTGACAGCTTCGAAGGCGTGAATCATGCGCCCTAGAAAGGCTGCATATCTACTGTGAATCGACTGGAAACTAAACGCCTTCGAGAAACCCCTAGAACCAGCGCTAAGGCAGCTGATCTTCGAAGCTGGGATAGGTCAAAATTTCGGATTTTGCCACAATTTTGCGCAACAGGGGGATCCGTCTCTCTGATAATGCCTGTCGCCTAGCGCTACAGAAACGAACAAGTTTATTATAAAATTTACCCGTGAATTCTTTGTAAGAGGTAGCTATACGCAACAAGTTGGTGGCAAACGATGGCAGGAATCTTCCTGACTATATTACTGAAAGCGGCAAAGAGTAAGCTGTTCGAGGATTCGCTCCCATGACCTCTTTTCCGTGAGCCCCGACCAAGTCTCCCGCGCTTTTGTGCTTCATAATTCCTTTCAGAAAAAGAATTTAGGGAAAGATAAGCGGAGCATATTGTTCAGCTCAGTCGTCGAGGCCGCGTTATAGACATGTACATCCAATAAGCCGGGCTGACCAACTGGTATTCCTGATAAGAAGGAACTGAAAGGGACAGGCACTGTTTTAGAATCGCTGCGGTCGGTTGTTGATGCGTTTTTCTACTATGGCTGTGAGGAACAAAAATAAGCCAATTTCAGTAGAAAAAGAAAAATTTCTTTCATTTGAGTTAGGTTTGAGTATTTTTACAGACATTCATACCTGCGTTGTTGTTCCTCAAGTACTCATCTTCCCTTCGGCGTCGTTCTTCGTTGAGCTCAGCAGCCAAGGTTTTCTTTGGTACACGCTCAGCACCATCCGTTGTGTGCCTTTACTAAATAACTGAGGAATTATCAACTTGCTCATAATCATGAAGATACGTTAGCCATAACCGAATTGCGAACTCTTACGGGATATTATGAAGGGAACAAGCGGAAGTTGTTCTCCAAGAACAAACCTTATCACTACTGCTAGCGCCTTCGTTTCCGCTGCTCCTTCCGCGACGTCGCCGCTTATCACGACGAGTGCGCCTTTTCTGTTGGTGCTGCGTATTGGCAGATCGTGCGAGCGTGGCTGAGGTGTTTGAGCTCTGCTACTACCCGCATCTTCGCCAGATGCCACTCATCAGGAATTCGCTCGCCGCTGCCATAGCCGAAAAGTCGTCATCAACATCGTCTGAAAGTGTTACAGTTGGCTGCAGAATAAAGAAAAAAAAACTATGAAAGAATTTCAAGAGAATATGCGCAAAAATACAGCCGTTCCTCTGGCAAGGAATAGATTCGAAAAGAGCTATAGTTCACATCAAAATTCCATATTCTCATCGAAAAAGCAGTTCCAGAACGCTAGCCGCTCATCCAGTTCACTTCTTTGAGCTACGAAATGTATCGAGAATAATAGCAATGTGCTCTTTATGTTCAAAATGCTACTTCGACCAGTGAATAATCACTGAACTCTTATTCCAGAAAGAAGCCGAAATGGGGAAAATTCACGAATCGGGTATTCGTTATTTGTCTCCTCTTATGATTATGCGAAGCTGTGGGTCTTGGAGGATCGCTTTGGCAGAAAAAACTCATCTAAGGTGAGCCGACCTACGGAAGTAACCACACAAAGAAAAACTTGAGGATATCCAGAAGCCCGACTTGTAGGATATTAGCATTTCAACTACAGGGATTATAGCTATAAATTTTCCTTCGCTGCTTGAAAAAAATTGTGCTCTGTAACTGAAAGTCGTTCTGCAAAGTGAGTTAGAGCAAGAAATTCGGGGTGCTCATTCGGAAAATATTCGAACAATTATTCAAGAATGACGAGAAGCACTTGGTGCAAAGAACATTAGCATCTGGTGGAGTAGCTCTGCTATCACGAATCTTGATTTTTACCCACAAAGCAATGGGAGAGCCTACTTGATTCGCAAGGCCAGTCAAGGTCTGAATGATAACTACCACCACTATCTATGGGGATTTTGAAGCTCGTTGTCGCTGCTGATCTGCATGTCCTCACTGATGCCTCCGTATTTTGCTTGACCAACCACTTAAGACAGCAAACTTTGGCAGATAGTCACAGATGTCCTCCGAAAAACCTTATCCAACCCACGTGAAGTCCATTTTCTCGACATGTACAAGCTTGTAGCTTGCTTTGAGGGCAAGACTCACGGTGCTTTAGCAAGACTGCAAGTCCGCTGTAATTCAATAGGCACCGGCGCACTGGTTGCTCCAAGAAGTTTAGGTGCGATTTGCCATCAGAACTATAGTCGCCCTGGCGCAACTTCTCGAATCATATCGGCATATCCTCTTTTACGTGTCTGGTTCTTCGCTGCACAGAATCCGACAGTCTTCTCTCACTTGTGTGCCCCAGACTGAACTCGTACAATAGAATGTGAGCACTAAATACGAGTTGAACGGCATTATTTCTGCCCAGACAAGCATTGAAGGTGAAATTTTACAATACGAAAGGATTTCAAGGTCGCCACATAGCCCATTGCTGGAAACTACGTAAACATTCTTGGAAAAGATGGCGTAGGTATGGAGAAATCGGCACTTATTTATGACTCAACCTAATAATTACTAGACCATTTGACAAACGTGAAGAGCTCCATGACTTTGTTCGTAGTAGCGATTGGCAGGTAAGGAAGGCGAATTTGCAATCAAGAGCTCAATCGCCAACCAGACGGCATTTATCACAACACAAATGACCACTTCTACATCGACTTCCCTGTTTGGCTGGAATCCCTGCACTATTCCCCCCCCCCCTGGAATAATTACCCAACACAGCTACTTTTTCTCGACCATTTCTCGACCAAAATTTACATATCCCACGTTGGAAAATTCACAGTAATTTAACAAACCTGGTCCCACAACTTCATCGAGCCAGTCAGGAGCGGCACTTAGCTCACTCGCAACACTCTGCTCACTTTCGCTGTGACGTCGAGAACGGGCAAACTCAGGAGTATTCATTTCTCGTAGCCCACCCTGAGAGAACAAGTTTCAATCAACGAATATCAGTATTCTATATCTACTCTAACACAAATGACATATATTGCAAATTACCGTTCGATCGGTCCCAACGCTGGAGGCCAGTGATGGTGTGGGGGTGGCTGGCATATTTGAGTCGTCATAGGCACTGATTTGACCATAGTACTCAGCCAGTGCTCCCAGAGAAACATTTGTCATATCCATTCCACCGATGGGTAACGTTAGACCGGGTATTAGAGTTGGAATCACAGGCAGCATAACTGGTATAGGAATGGGCTCAGTTCCGGTGATCGCTGTTGGGTAAACCGTCGGATGAACAGCGGATACAGGAATGACGGATGGCCGCGACATAGGCATAGATGTGGTGTCATGGTGCTCGATGTGGATGGATTATACGAAGCAGAAAAAACGGAGGTCGCAGTCGTTGGGGTGGATGGAAATGGAGGGGCCGCCATTGAATCCGTTTCTTTCGGCGACGTGGGATCTTCTCTGTTGTACAGGAGCGACAGGAACAGGCTGTGGTAATTGATGAACATGCTCTAAAAAAAAAGGACAATGACCACAGTACTCTCGAGAAAGAATCCAAACAGCGTACCATTCCTTTCACCACTTTCGCGCCGTTTCTCCTCGCGCTTCGCTGCAACGGGCCGAACAGAAGGTTGAACATTTACGCTCGAGCTATCTGACGTGGACATGGGCGGAGTTGTCTCGGATGTCAAAATGGGGTGCCGTTCCAGGTCGGCATCCATGAGCTGTTGGGCACGTGCCAGTCGCCGATCAGCTTCAGTGAATCCTCCGCTTTTCTTTCGCTGATTGGTAGGTGCCTTTGGAGACATTGATAGCTTCGCACTAAAAAACGAAAAGAGGAAGAAATACACATCATTCAAAGAGCAGATGAAATGAAACTTTCTTAAGCTAATTTTTAAAAACCTCAGTTTGTGCATTGGAGCCACAGGCTGCACCTTTTTACCACTAGTTGACGTTTGTTGTTGTTGTTGTTGTTGTTGTTGTTGAGTGGCATGCTTCGCTTTTGTGGCTTAAAATAAATTTTCACTTCTTCATCACTGAAATGATCATATACCTGTGAAACATACGTTTAACACTGATCGGTGCTTGAAGATCCGACTTTTCTTTGATGCCATCTTTGTCCTTTTCTTTCATGTCTTTCACTTTGGAGTGTATAATGGACACTTGCGCTTTCTTTTTTCTCTGAAAAATGAAGGTAAAACTCGAAACCAGATCCCAATACACTACATTCACACATGTCACAGGTGAAATATTTAACGAGGTGATACTGCATTCCGACACATTGCACACCCAAAAATATATAGTTTGAAGGGTCGCTCCGCGCTTCTACTGACCAGAACTCGCCAACTTCGACCAAAATACTCATCACATTGGAAATTGTTAAATAACATCAGACTAATCTGAAAGAGCATAACGCTAATTCCAGCATCACAGGTCATTTTCGGAATAAAAAACCGTTCAAATGCATTCGCGACTTTTTATGAGATCGTGCAGTATCACTTCATCACATGAACCACAACTTTGGAGTGTTGGTTTGTCGATGTGTATGTCAGTGTGGTTGCCGTTCCGTCCATACGGAACAACTGCCAAGAGAACCGGGAAGCTTGAAGAGCTATGATTCGTGATATTTACTGATGCCATGATTATGACAACCCCTCAACAGCTATAAAAGCACTGATCGAGCACACTGAGCTTCACATACTGCAGTGGCAGCTGGAGGGGAGGGCAGGAGAAGGCCGCTTTCGAGAGTGAGGTTTGATCCAACGTTGAGGTATTATTCTAACATGTCATGTTTGTGATAATACCCATAACGGCTATATAAAACGGGACCAGATATCTCGAGCGAAGCTTCCGCAAGCTGTCTTCTTTCGCTTCAAAGACGCAGTGTTACCACAAATGCTTTATGTGCTCTGAGGGCTCATTCAAGAACGCGCACTACGCACACAAAACGCTAAATTAATCGCACGCGTTAGACTCTGACACTTGGTGATAGAAATTGACCCTTTATTCTTTGAGGTGGCCCAGAGGTTCATTTATATAAGTGGAGTTGCTGCATCACCAGTCAGTACTCTGCTTCGTCCTGTCTTCCCAGTCCCATAGTGCTTTCGTTACACGATCACCGCTTTTTACATTGATATAGTGGTAATTGTCGACACTTTTTTGTTCCAGGTGATTAATATCGAAAAAAAAATTGATCACGTTATGCGGTCTAAGACTGTTACTTAGTAGGCTGTTTTGCCTAACCTAAAGGAAGGCACTCGCTAAGGGTGGCGGGGAATAGAAAAAAGAGCTGGCCATCCGACTGGCCCCAAATTTATGAAAACCCGATTGACTATCTTTGCCAAATTTCCAACATTTTTATTAAAGATGATGTGATCGTTATATGCAAAAAATTAATCATGTTCGGGAGAGAAACGACACCCGTTGAGAACAAGCATATGGTTGTCGCAAAAAATAATTGGTAAAAACTAGAAATTTGACTCACTAGCACACATTATCGCGCTGAAGATCGCCTAAGTATGAGAAAATACACACCCTCTCAGCGTTATTGCTTCACCTACCTCCTTCCCCTTATCTTTGAAAGAAAATTTTGCGTCAAACAAGAATCTCAGGATGAATGTAACATGAATTGAGGACCTTCTCAAGTTAGTCAAATAAAAGCAATCTGATTTCATCGCTAAAAAAACTCGCTGTAACATCCCTTACTAGAAAACTTATTAATAACCTTGTTCTCCTTCTTGGGTTGATCTTGCTTGTCGTTTCTATAAAGCAACGAAAGTCGCCACACGAAGTGCACCGCTCTCAATACCGAGTTGGCTGCTTGGTAGAAGATTCGTAAGACCATCGAGGCATCAGCCGCTACATGTAGACCAGAGGGTAGAGCCTCGTTCCAAGAAACTCAAATAGTTCACGATAACGCATGAGGAAATAGGGAGGAGCAAAGCCGATCGGAGTACCGTACCTGCGCTCTTCCCGTTGCCACTGTGACTGCTGCCTTGTGCAGAAGACGTGCTTCCATTCCTTTTACCGTCCAAGTTGTTCAAATCGAAGACCGTCCGAGGTGTGGAGTGGTGTTGTCGAATTGCACAAGCAATAGCTCTATCACCTTCCAAATATGCGCACGCCAAGACACAAACCAAGCAGAAACTAAAAAGATCGTGTGCCATGAAAAATACAGAAGAATGACTACTCTTCCGGTAAAATTGGTGCAGTTTGAGGGAAAAGCGGCTGATAGAATCCTAAGAGGCGTTCTTGAACTTATGAGGTACTAGTTAGATTTGATTCCATAAACCGATTTCTTCAATTTTGAGTGCTGTACGTTTATCTGGTGGATAAGCTGAACAGAACAAACTGTAGCCTGGAGATTCATGCCATTGCCGGAGGATTATTTTTGCCCAAATATAGGGAAGTGGAGCTCCGGGTTGGGCGTACTTCTCCGCTGCTGAAGTTTTTCACATTTTATGAAAATTGTTCCACGTACCTCAAAGCTCCCTGCCTTCTCATAGACCTGCCCAAAAATCCTTACCTCCCCTGGGTGCTCTGTACCGAAACCATCGCATTACAAGAGGAGCACAAACATGAATAAACCTACACAAGAGCGGTGACACAGCTGTAGTACATAAGATTTTCGAATGGAGGTCGTGGTAGGGCTCGATGACATCTAGCCAACATATCCTCAGGAACTGTTGCCGCCAACGGGAATAACCATGAGCTGCCATTCATATGCATGTAAAGCTGAAGATCCGCCTCATTTGTAGTAGTCAGAAAGTCTGGTGTGTATCTGGAAAGCCAGAGAAATTAAAAAGCTTCAATTCTGTGATTGTGAAAGAATTCGTGAATTTGTGTAAACATACGCGACATCAAGAGAATAGGTCTCATTCGGTTGGAGACGAAACGGATAGCAGTTGAGGATGCGAAAACCACGGTTTTCACAGGGCACACCGTTGATACTCATGTTAACCACAGTAAACGGCACCTCTCCTGAGTTCATCACCGAAAACGGACGACGAACTGTGAGTGTAGAACTGAGTTTATGCATCAAACCTGAAATGTAATCAAATGAAATGAATGAAATTAATCAATATTAATGAAAACCTGAATTGCTTCAGACGCTGTGTCATATGCTCCGAAAGGAGCAATCAGTCTTCCTCAACATCAAAACATGACTGGCCATGATCAGAATGGAAATTAGGATCAGCCTTAGCTTGTTGAATGAAAGTAAAGAAATAAGGCAATTCCATCCAGTCACAACAGGAACGCTCAACTCATAGATAAAATCCGAGGTCTAGGGTCTTCGACGGGGGAAACACGTGATACAAACCACTGTATCAAAGAAGCGGGGACCCATGACTTTCTGAACCGTACAAAATCCTTGCCAATTTATTTGGTTTCATCAGAGGTAGCGCAGAATTCATCAAAACGCTCTTGCATCCGCAAGATCTTCTACACTGAAGCGAGCCATCCAAGATTTCCACAAATCTTTTTCACCGAAAACCCCCTCGACAAAGATTTCGGGATAGGGTATGTGGCGCAATCCCAACTGGAGGATAATGGGTAAATCACGGACAAAAGCCATCACGTAAACGCTAATATGAGACACAGGTAAATTCTGGATGAACTCCCTGTATCTGCAGCGCGAATCGATTCGTACCAGCTCTCTCCACTCACTATCAAACGTATCCGCGTATAAATGTATGTGGTACGCTCTGGATGCGCGTGGACCGTTTCTGCCTGCGCGCTCAATAAACGCTTGCATTCGAGTGACCGCGAAAAACGAGAAAAGCGGACTGGGGACCGCACGGAAAAGCCCTATCGAATTTTCAAAGGAGCGTATCCAACTACTTGGAGTCTACTCAGCGAGCCAAGAAGAGCGAGTACAACGGCCAAAACGTACACGCCGTTTACGAAATTGAAAATGTTCCTTATATCATGCAGTAGCTACTCGAATTTCGGGTGTTCTCGTCAACACACTAGCCACAACTTACGTCCGAGCTAGCGAATGTATGCAGATAAGCAACAAAGAATAATTTATAAAAGCGAAGAGCAATCGCTCAGCCGAGATCAAACATAATCCGGATAATTCGCAATGCCCGCCGGACCTTAGTTCTATGGTAGAAATGACCGCCTCTGATTTTCGCATACTTCCTGAAGGGGAATGGCAAGTCGTCCATGACCATGACCATCCGTCACTACATAAAGGCGAAAAATATGTCTTTAGGTGCAGCGGGGTCCTCTCATCCGCTCAACCTTATAGAATTTACATGTCAATCATTATTGAGAAGATCATACAATGTGTGGCCTCGAATTTTATTGAGATAGCCGTGAATTTTATGACAAATTCGTTCATGTTCACGGCTGCCTCACAGAAACTTGAAGGACTCCTGCTCTTCTAGTCATTTTCTAAGTGTAACAGTAGTAATGCAGAACGAAAGAACAAAGTGAGTAATACAAACTATATGCAGATGCACGCCTTGCAGTCAAAAATAGTAAATGGTTTGCAACGTGTGTTGGGGCTCAACACGTCGAAATTTTTTGATAAAGAATTCATAAAGAAAGTACGGACGAGGAAAAATGCTTCCTCAAGGACTTCTGGCGCTGCAGCACATAAGTGCGAATTTCTGAGAGTCTGTAACGTAAAAGAATTCATACTCACGTTTGGGATTGTTACAGTCACTCAGATGATCATGACGAATTTCAAAGAAGTAGAGGTTGTTTTGAGCGTGCTTCCATATTTTCCACACGCATACCGATTCGTGCCCCTCTGCCATACACCACAACGGGTTCAATCACCGTCAAATTGTTCCTTAACAATGAATTGGTTCAATTAAGAAAATGAAACTTTTTCGTCATGACGGAGACTAACTGATAATTGACGGATTAGGTCAAAATCAAAATAGTTCTAACTCAGGCTGGAGGTTAACGCAAACCTAATGAGTAACAGTGATGATCGAAGAGTGTAGTCCGATGGCAGAAAACCTAGTCGTAAGCGAACCTTCATATGTGGTTTTAACAGCAGTGACAAAGTGAACCTTAAAAAAAGTTGAACATAATGTAGATCGTACATTCTGCACTCTAGAAAACAATTAAAAATTCCATAAAAAACCCCACCTTGGAACAGTCTGTGGTATGGCAGCTTCGAGTTCCTCCCGTAATCTTGGTACGGGGCTATCAGGCTTTAGAGTGAACAGCTCAGTATCGCGTAAGGAAAACATTAGTGTTTCGTTCATTTCCACCTCAGAAGTAAGCGGTGTGATAAGGTGCTCGCGAAAAAACTCTACTACAGCGTCAGCATCTGGATAAATCACTAGCGGAATGACTTGTACTGCTATAGGAACCGATGTCGGATTCGCCAAGGTGAGATTCACTATCTGAAATCAAAAATTGAAACGAAAGTCTTGCTGTGAAATAATCATTCCTAAAGTAAATGTAGCTGCATTTACACACCGTAAAATTGCCAAGTGCAGTTAATGGGAAATGCACCGAATTCCGCGTTAACAGACGAGGCCAAATCATTTCGGCAGTGGATTCGATCTGCAATCATCAATTAGTTGATAGGCATTCGTAACACAAGCCGAATATTCAACCACTGCTACCTGTATATTCTTGGCTCTATCCGTGTCAATGATCACCGTTGTATTCACACGGTGTTTCCCATTCTTGACAAGATTATCAAAGCGAGCTCTTTGCTTCTTGTATAAATAGCTGTCCACTTCTGCCAAGTTGGCTGGTAAAGTCAGCCCATGAACAAACCATTGCCCATCTATAATGTGAGACTACAAAAACGGACAATGCAAACAGAACTAGCAAAATAGCATTCTCAACCCTTAGGAGAACTGACTTTGTCTTAACATTTTCAGTGCCCCACTACGAATCTACGTACTTCGTTTTCAATAGCAGAACCAAGTAAAACCAAAAACGAACCGGTGGTGTGAAGAGGCAGGCCTAGATAGCAGTAATCATGAGAGCATGGTGTTTCCGGAAGGAACATAACGCGACCTAAAGAGATTCATTTTGAAAAAGATAACACGCTAAAAAAATTTCAAGAGACTACATCACTTGCCGAGGTTAGTTAGACGTCCAGATCGTAGCACCGGAGGATGAGCAGGATCGAAACCTTCGAAGAAGAAGCGTGGATCGCGTGATGTGGTTGACAATCGCGTCACCTTCATATCTTCCGCGAAAGAGTTGAACACCTGTAAGAATTAAGAAGTCTCAAGAAATTAAAGGTAAAATATCAGCAATATCAAAACACGCAAATAACTCTTGAGCAATGGTAAATCGCAACAAATACCTGCAAATTCATATACACTACTTTTCCTGGATGCGTTCTTCCAAACGAGATGCGATCCGGAATTGACGTTAGACTGCCTTGAGCAACCTATAAAGATTAACTGATCATATACGAAACAGCATGGGAGTTTTAAACTCGTGGAATTTCGACAGCTATCTATTTTCAAACTACCACAAGTATATAGATAAGCTGGAACAAAAATTTTTTAAGCAACAGAATTCTTCACTATATGTGAATAGAGAAAACTAAAAGACTGGTCCACACCTATAACCTCACCTCGTACTTGACAGGGAAAACCTTGCTTTCGAATTCCGTCGCGATTATCATTTGTGACGGATGGAACGGCTCATCCAATGGTAACCTCAGCTCGAAATCGAAAAATGCTGCACTGTGTGGTGGAATTTCCAAATCACCACCCTGAAGTTCAACTTTCGAAACCTAACAACTTTGGTTCAGCTTAAGAGTAGGAGTAATGTTAAAGGAATCTCCACGGAAAAAGCTCCGCCCTCATTACCACAGAAAACGATACCTTAAAGGAATCTTCCACGGAAAGAGTGATTTTGTCTTGTGTGTAGGATTAGTATTATCGAAACTAACGCTTATGTTCCGTTCTTTTTGCTATGCTCATGAGGCTAGGGGCCTAAGGGGTATCGTTTTTCTGTGGTAATGGAGGCGGAGCTTTTCCGTGGAAGATTCCTTCAAGCTAGGCATCAAAAAGCAACTGTGCAGCTTTTTCGGAAAGAATCCCGCGGGACGGGCAAGTGTGTATTGCTGTGGCTGGCTTATTGAACTAGTCGTAAGCACACACACCATGAAAAGGAAGTAGCCTCGAAAACGACGCTGGAGGTACTGCTTCTAAAATATCCCTAAGCAGGCCAAATGGATACTACACATGGCTATCATTCAAAGCGGCGAAAAGCTGAGAAACTTGGAACTATGTGCAGAATCACCTTTTTAAAGTGATCGCGACGGATTTACTAAATTTAATGTCCACTTATCGGAAAATCTTTCCCTTCTATGTCTCCCTCGTGAGTTCCAGGTGCACTCACCTGTGGCCATTCCTCACGACTGTCAGCTGGCACCCACGTGCCCATTGTGTTCTTCCCAAGTACTGACACCAAGTACAGTCTGTGTATGGATGGACGAGGAACAGAAAGACCTCGGACTGTCATAACGGCAGGATTTTTGTTGCGCATGACAAACTGTAAAGAAAATCAGCATGATATAAAAGCGTGATGTCATGAACTAAGGCATCGATCTTCTTTACGATATCGGTACCATGCGAAAAATTTGATCCAGCTTACTCTAATAGTTCGCGTGTCATTCCTTTCCAACAGCCCAAAATCGAATGATTCTTGATCGACTGAGAACAACTCAACCTAAAGTCAATAAAAGTTGAGTACAGAGGCGATCAGGTAAAGATAATCATCTTATAAAAGAACCTAACATCAGCAAACAAATTAAAAAAATGAAGCACCCACCTGAATTCTACCTGAGTATTTCCATAGCTGGATCCTATAGTTGGAAATATTTGTGTGCACATACAGAACAGTCTGCCCAAATGTGTCAGGAACTTTTTTGTTGTACTTTAGGAGGAACACCGGCTGCTCCTCATCCACTCCAATCACGACAGTTTTATTAAACAAACGAACCTAAGAAAAAGATTCAGGTGATTTATGTGAATCCAAAAAAAAACTTTTGAAGTGCGATAGATAGCTTTATATTCCAACATAATAACCTTGCTTTTAACAATTTTTAGCCATCGAGGACAGCATAAGTTCTATAAGACTTTGTGCATGCTAGTTTTTGATTGATAACTGCTGTTTTTGGCCACACTGCCTTGTTCCATAAGGATCAAATTCTGTTAGTATTCAGCTGCACCAAGCCGTATAGTTAGTTTCACTGCTACCCCTAATACGAGACCAAAGTTTTCGATCTACTTCCATTCCCCACTTTCCTGTAATCATTACCCATATGAACGTATGCAGGTGTTGGCGCTGGAGCTGAAAAAACAGCTTTTCTTGAAATGGTGCAAAATCTGACCGAAACTGCTGGACATTCTCTATTACAAATTGTTTCCACTGCTAGTAGAAAATGTACTTACAATACAAGCACGTGTTTGAAAGGTTCAGCTAAATGTGGGATTGATTACTTCTTCACAGGCCCAGCCCAGCCAAATGAAAGAGTGTACGCTTTCATGCGCGTCTTGTGACCACTTGGAGGTCGAACATACCTAGCGCAGAGCATGCGGACCCTTAAAGTTTACGAGACGATGCGCGCCCCGCAGCCTATAGTATGCCGCAGCGGCCTAGTGGGGCCTTAGCCGCGCCGCGCACTCTCTGCACTCCCACCGAACGGCTGACTCCTCGCCGTCTGACTACGTCGTGCAGAGAGGTGGGTTGTTTAGGACAGCACTGATTGGACACGCCTAAAGCGCAAATCAACGGGCTAAAAGGAGGTACGATTTCTCGGAATCTTCGCCGCTTTCTATGTTTTTTTTTCATTTCTCGCTCAGTTACTACCTCTACCTCAATTTCTAATGGGCTGTCTTTTCATGGTTAACTTCGCTTTTGGAGTTCAGTCAAAAGTTACAAGCACAACAATTGGTGATCGGTGATCGACAAGGCAGATGCTTCGACGAGTGAACTTGAATTTTTCAAAAGCTAATCTCTTATAATAACCATCGCAGCCAGAGACGAGGGTTGAAGTTCCTAAATAGAAAGATCGCTCCTACCGTAAAGTATTGACTTGCATCCGGTGAAATCGATATATTCCAAATAGCCACAGGAAATGGCAGAGCATTACGTAGACGGACACTACGCTTATGAGGAGCTTTGATGTCTTCTTGCAAGGCAAGGTCATTACCGACCGAAACGATATCCCTGAAAATTTTCGTGGTCAAATAAAAATAAGAAAAGAACGTCAGCTACCATTTGAGACGAGGCCCTATATTTACTATTACGAAACGCCAACCATAAACCCATAATTTTCTTTCAAATTTGCTAAATGCACTTTCAATACATAGTTGAGGAAATTTTCTGATGCCATCTTGCATGCTCTGTTAGCAAAAGTTCTCATCAGTGATGTGCAGCTGTCTTAAACCACATTAAAAATAATTTTAAGCATGGAGTGGGTGTGCAAGGGTATAAATCATACTCAAATAGATGGAGCAATCAGTTCAATGGAAAGAACATATGCGGGAAGCATGCAACCATATTGGACTCGAATCCAGATTCACTACCAGATAGGTGTAGTCGCTGCGTTTGGAAACAAAAATAGAGGTACGAGGTGGACCAACAGTGAAGAAAGAAAGAAAACAGGCGCCTAGAAAATCGAAAATAGATGTACATTTTTTCAATCTAGGGATGAGCTCCAGAGGTCAGCAAGGTAAGAGATACTGCTTTATCTGTTGTATCCTCTTCATAGAAAGGGTATACGAATTGATCGTGGGGAGTACCTTTGATGTTTATGCACTCGCTAGAGACTTTCAAAAAAGACTCTAATCGGAGTTGAGCAGCTCAATCGCAGGTGCTCAGTTCCTACCGCATCTTGTTTTCTAAACAATTTCAGCCCTCACTTCAGCACTGAGATAAAACTAGCGCAGGACGGATTCTTATCGATTATTTCAATTTGAATCACAAACCCTTGATAAACAGTGACACGAAATGGTATAGTGACGTTGTAGTTGCCACCACGACTGAGGGCAATTATTCTCCCATGAAACGTTCGAGCACTGGGCAGTTGAGATTCGAAAGATATGCGTGATGCATCAAAGAACACCTTCACGAGATCCGACGGTTTGCCTAAATATTTTGATTCTAGGACGTCAAATCAAGGAAGAACCAGCACAGAAATGTAATTTCCTGTATAACATAGATGAACAAAAAAAGTAGAACACCATTAATCAACAATATCAATTTTGAATAACCATATTGTCTCCGAGTATAGAATCCCAAACCTGGCAATGATCCTTTTCCAGGAAGAACGGCGATTGGAGGTGTGGAGGCAAATTCCATATATATGCCTGTGGGATCCCCTCTGTCTACGTATAATGTCTGAAAATTTTCAACAATCATGAAATAAATAGTGAGTCGTTTGATGAGGGAAAATGAAATAAACCTCGAACTCTAGTTTTCCGTTCAGCAAATATTGATATACTGAAAACATTTGAGGTTGTGATCGTTCACCTTGCCTAAAAACAGTAAGAATGAGAAGATTCAAGCAGCAATATCAGAAATAAGCGCTTCATACTTGCACAATTTACCTACGTCGAACGAGAAACAACAAACTTCACCTTAGCAAACCAAAATCCAACATGTCCTTGGTTGTGAAGACTCCTCGTCGCTTATTTATTTCTATAGGGATTGGAAGCACAATCGAGTGTTGTACTCCGTCATTGCTGAAATCGAAATAGTGCAACCACAAAATATCAAAGATCTAATGATTCCCCGTCTTTGTTTTACCTGCACAAAAGAAGTAACTCTGATTTCAATCGGGAACTGGTATATAAAGATTTAATTCTATAACAATATCGCACCCTATTATAGGGAAGCTACCCACCCTTCATCGTCAAGAAGTAATCCTGTGAATCGTAGAAAAATTGTAGTGTTCTCCAAAGTGTGCCCAACAACAACGGCGCGACAGATAGTTTTAGTTTGAAATGGGCGAATGTCCTGAAGCAATACTTATTCTCAACACGGATTTTGGAGTTTACTCGTATTTGGGAAAATAACGCATTTGAACGTCTCCTCTAATGGAATTTGTGAGATTTTTAAAAAATACGCGTACCCAATACTGAAGGGGTTCTGCTGCTACTTTTCCATCAATGTCATAGGCCATCTCAACATGCACATTGCCTCCGGACGACACTACCTGGAATACATGCGGTTTATGCAAATAATATTTACCAACAGACTTACTTACCTCAGTAATCCTAAATGTACTAGTGAATGGGTTGTGGAGAGCTATGTCCTTAGAAAGTGTACCGTTGAACGGTAAACGAGTACCAACAAATGGAGCAATACGATACGGATTTGAGGAAGAGCGACCAGAAAGCTGAAAATGAACGGCTTCAACTAACCTGACCCGCAATTTGAGCAACCCTGTACTGTGCCTGTTCCTAATAGTAATGTGCGTTGTGAATCACTCGTAAAACATTTACTCATTTAATGGCCACTGGTTTTTAAAAGTGAAACTGGGAGCCAAATGACGTCACAATCTGCCCTGACTCAAGGAGGAATCACGAATCAACTTAGGGTAGACGGAGATCCGAAAGTGAAATGAACCACTTCAACAGTATCAACAATAACCCAGTGGTGAGAAGCATTTTAGAAAAAAAAAACCTAAGCAAGTCAACTGAGAGCCACTAGAGCTATGAAACAAGTTGAAAAACAATTTTTCTAGGATTATAAAGGCGTGTGTTAGCTGGAAATACTGTATGTAATACATTGGTAAGCCGTCGAAGTTTGCCTCTTGTGAATACTAAAAATAGCTGATTCCATGATAACTTGAATTACCTACGCTTTGGAATTATTATAGATAAGAAAAACTGGAGAAAGAAAGGAAACTCACTTCATATATGAAAATTCCCACAGAAGTACGTATATTAATGGCAACGCTTGTTCTGCCTTCCTCACGGGGAAGAAATGCTATCTCGAAAAATGCTGTCCCGAGAGGAGAGATTTCCTGGAAATGTACTTCCTCGATGGTTATACGTGAAACTTCAGGAGGTTTAAGGTGAAAACACACGAAAAAAGGCTTTATGATTAATGGATTCACGAGATGATAACCTACAACGGTGTTGAAAAAGGAAATGTGGAAATTGACAGTAGCACCAGCAATAGAATCCAGTGTAATAGGCTTTTGAAGCAGACTTCTTATGAATACACGTCGTTTTACGGAGTGCCCCACAGCACTGAAAATCCAACAGTTGAATGTGTCTCAAGATAAAAAAAAATAGTAGTCCCAAGGATTTGGTATACCTGTCGCCGAACTCCACAAAAGGTGGATCGAATGCGATTGGCATCGTTTCGTCTCCGTGCATTTTTTTGACGTTATACTTTTTCTCTCTGAACACCAGAATGCATGACTTTAGAAGAGGTGAAAAGTAAAGGACCTATTGGCACTATTGCACTATTACAACCCCAGTGGGGGCCGAGATGGGTCAAAAAATAATTTTCGCTGAAACTTCTGCTATGGGGGTTATCGAGGGTCCTGATCACGAATATGACATCCATTTTTGGCGCTGGCGCCATTTGGCGCCACGACTGATTATCACCAAATTCGCTGTAAACTTCTGATAGGGGTTATTTGGGGCCCTGATCACGAATATGACACTCGTTTTTGACATTCGTGCTGTTTAACGCATATTTTCTGCTTTTCTAAGCTTTCTCACCTATAGCGCCTAAGACTAAGCTTAGGGGAGGGGAGTGAAACTCCGGAGTGGGTAAACCACGCACCGTGTGGCAAAAGTTGGAGTGTGTTAGACCACAGGGGAGTGGCCTACTCACTTTGGAGCCCTCCACTATTCAAAGGCTTAGTCCTGATTGCGATCTAATTAGTGCGAGGGCGCAGACGAGCAGGAAATAGGTATACAGAAGTTTACAGCGAATTTAGAAGGGATCAGCCGTGGCGCCAAAAAAGAGTATCATACAGTGCGTACCAAAAGTATGTGGACACCCTGGAATCGATTCTCAGGGGTCAGCTAAAGGCTTTTTGTGTTATGAAACCTTCACCATTCAACTCCTAGTGGTCGATAACCTACAATGATATTTTCGGCAAAAGATTTCGTTCTAACTTAGCGAACTATTTTTCATGGAAAGTTTTTTCTTTGTATCAAAATTATGTGGACACTTTTTGAAAAACGGCAATATCTTCAGAATCTGAAATCGGTAGGCCTACCAAAGTTTCTAGTAAGTTGAGCCATTCTGTTTGGCATGCTATGAATGGGGTCTGGATACATGTCTTGCAGATCTGTTCCCAACTAGCAAATTTCACCGACGTGTTAGGTCACTTGTGATATTACTCTTTTGTTCAATGACGTAGAGACCGCGAACCACGATACCTCTACGTTTTCAATAAGGATGAAGTCTGAGGAATACGCTAGCCGACTTGCCAATCAAAGCCGTTGCGTTTAGCATTTTTCCAAATGGAATGGTGTCAGGGACCTCCCCTGCAAAACAAGTGATTTGCGACCATGACTTTTCGAAAAAGGTTGTAGCCGGGACTCAAGCACCTCATTATAATCCTAGTCGTCTACCTGACATGTTGGCAAGCCAAACTTCAATGTCCCCCTCCTTTTGGAACCACCCCAGACCTTTGATGAACATCTTCCGAATTGTCTCTTCGAGCACATCTGCGGGTCCAGTATCGCGACGATACGCGATTCTTTATTTTACATAGTTCATTTGTCACTTATATTGTAGTTCATTTATTCTGTATGGTATTCATAATCCTTGTTCTATCTCACTCTCATCTATTGCATTCTTCCTCATGTCGTGCTTTGCTTGAGCTTTTACATACAGTTTGTAGGCGTCGTCGAGCACCTCATGCAGCGGCATACTATCTTACCATACACATGCTCCCGCCTCGTGAGAGGCTCGACGGCGTCAGTTCTGTTTTCTGGCTCGGTTTGCCTTGGTCTGAACGGTCATCTGGGTGACCGTCGGTGTGAGTCACTACTGGATCTGAGATTTGACCTCTCTGTTGGTGCTAATTCAGTATATATCTGGTGTGCTACATTTCGGCTATTGTACGAAGGTAATCGAGAGGTATATAAATTTCGTGAGTCTAATTTTTGGAGTTTTTCTTTTCGAACACAGTACTCTTCTCACTACCTTTACGCGTGGCAGGTTACTCGACAGCATCTATTGTGGGTTTATGGAGCAACTTTGATGTACAAGATGTTTATGACGACACAAGAAAAAAATGAAACCACACCACTTCCGGCCATTGATAGAAGGCATTGGCGGACACTTATGCGTGCATCGCCGCGCGAATCGAACCGGGCCGCCCGAGCATGGCATAGACAGAGATTCTAACCATGAATCTTCTCTGCCCTCCACACCGCAGAGCATGCCTCGCAAGAGAACTACAACTATTCCTCTATGATGACGGCAAATGTACGCCGCCTCAAAAACAGACATGCGAAATGTGTCATGTTCGAGTCTTTAACGGATGTGTAAGAAGAAGTCCAGACAAATACGTTAATAAAACTCACAATCAGAACAAGCGGGGCAGCTTTGGGGAAAAAATGTTGAACACGTCTCGAACAACTCAAGTAAAACAGCAAGAGCAATGACAGGACCGATAGTCCACGCAGACTTATCATGATAGGAAAAATCTAAAAAAACACGATACGAGAGCCTCACCCAAGTCGTAACTACGGGGATATGTGAAGTGTCGAACAGTGAGTTAGAAGGTTGCTACCACTGCTCGAAAGGAGCACAAGCAAAGATCATGTGCCACTCAACTGTAGACACCCATGGAGAAATCCTATGCGACCAGCGGTCATTCGTGGTTCCTTGTGGGCCTACACCCAGAGAATCTATGCTTATGTTCCACCTCGATTCAGCTCAACAGTTTTTCAACTGTTCAGTTAGATGTGGAGAAGTGACGAAATACTTCACACTCACTGGAATTCTGAAATACACCAACGATTTCCCAATGACCCTGAGGAACATACTGAAAGGGAACAGCACTAACTTTCACGAATTTAAATTGCCCGACTTCGCACACATCGCGGAAGTTATATTAAGTTGGTACAAGACATTGTTATGTAGCCTTCTAGCAGTACTAATAGCACTAGTCCTCTCCTACCTTTTCCTCCAAAGCGTAGGACTACGCCTAGTTTGCTTTCTTTTACACAGCGCCCTCAAGCTCATATGTCTTCCCTTTCGGCTTGCAATGTTTCTGGGCACTGCAATACGGAAATTCCATGTGCGGCAAAGGCTCCACGAAAAACATCTTTGAGGGGTTCAGTACTGTCATAGTAGAACATAGGTTTCACAATATACTTACATATATACATTTTTCTAATATTTCTTTTTTCCCTTTTTCTAGACATTCATTTTTTATTTACCCTCAATTGCAGCCTGGATCGCATACACTGATGTCTACACTGACACCTGCTCCAAGATCGCAATTACTTCTGAATCTGCGCATGCAGAAAATCAGAAATCAAGAGTTACGAAAACAAAACAAGCAACTGATCGATGCGATTGGCCAACTTCCACCACCAAGAGAGTTTTTTGAGAATCTGGTTCAAACGATCAGGAATATAAATGACAGTTCCAGAGCAGTACTCCAGCTGGACACCAACATTGACGTCCTAAAAGCTACCGACGACCATCCCTACATTGTCTCCTTACATTTGGAAACGTTGGAAGAGCAGATAGAGAAAATCACGCTACAGTTCCAGTTGGCTCGGACACAGCTTGTCGTACTCCAGAAGCAATATGCTGGCCTCATGGCCACAGGACGGCTAACATCGGAGATGTGGGGTTCGTTTCTCAACGAAACGCACCTAGACAGTGAGAACCAGCCACTCAACCTCGACCCACAGGAACAAGAACAGCTCATAACGACTTAACCTGGAATTTCTGGGCAACTACAGCATCCAAATCGCTGGTATGAGACGATCTATGACAGACTCTAACCGTCTCCAATACTATGACGATTTGCTCAGGAAGCACGAGGCTGTAGCGGCAGAAGAACAATCGTTCGAAGAAGAAGAAGTTCTGTCGAAACTCGAAGCAATCTACAACATCCTGAAACCAGACAGACCGAAAACACAGGACTTGCCCGGTACTCCAGCAACAGTGGAATTCAGTGAAGGGCCGGAGGGTGCGAGTGCACTATTCCAAACGAAGGACTTGGAGGAAAACACTCGCGAAACCGAGGAGATGACGATTCAGAGGAATGCTGGGTTCTTGGAGCCTCTAGACTTTGATGAGGAGCAGCCCGAAGATCAGCCTATGGACGTCACTGGCGAGCAGCCAGCTGCAGAACAACCTCATCTTCTGGAAGACGAAGAAATAGCAGATGAAGGGCTCGTAGTCCTGGATGAAGTGGAAGGTGACAACGAGGATCAGGAAATCATCGTAGTCATCGAGAATCCACCTCAGCGACGTGATTTGGAAGCTCCTCGACGTGCTGTTCACCGACATGCAGAAGGAGCTCTACGTGGCCGTGAAGCTGGCGCATCTCAAGAAAGACAACAAGAAGGTGGATTCCATCCACACCACGGAATCCTAAGAGACCCGAACGTGGAAGAGTTAGCCAATGTAGAGCAACAACTCCTGGAAACTCGTGACTTGAAGTACCAAGCGGAGCAGGAAGTGAACCAGTTACGAGAGAGACGCTCACACGCAAGGCGAAGGTTCTTACCCGCACGTCCTGACAAACGGACGCAACCTTGCGCATTTTGTCTTGCTACTGGTGACCATTATTCCGACGCATGTCCACGATTCCCAGGGGCCAGTACTAGAGAGAGACTTGCTCGAGGTGACGATCGATGTACCATGTGCCTACTCCCATCAAACCTGCATGCCCAGTGTAAACGAAAAGAGGAACCTTGCCGATATTGTGGCTCCACCAGCCACCACCCGGCATTGTGTGCTGAACCGGAGCGTTCAGAGCAAATGACTAGGAGGATCGCGGAAATTTCCGAGAGAATTAGAGAGTACGATCTCCGCATCGAGCTGCTCACGACAAGAAGGAACCAGCTATTGGAGCGACATTGATTCAACTCGCCCTACCGTTCTAAGCCATCTTTTGTACTCTGCTCCAATCAATAACCTGTAAGCTGTGAAGATTTATGCCCACTGCTGGCCCGAGTGCCAGCTTACACTGATGCTCGACCGTTCTCGTGAGCTGTAAGATATATGCTCACGGCTGGCCCGAGTGCCAGCTTACACTGATGCTCGACCGTTCTCGTGAGCTGTAAGATATATGCTCACTGCTGGCCCGAGTGCCAGCTCACACTGATGCTCGACCGTTCTCGTGAGCTGTAAGATATATGCTCACTGCTGGCCCGAGTGCCAGCTTACACTGATGCTCGACCGTTCTCGTGAGCTGTAAGATATATGCTCACTGCTGGCCCGAGTGCCAGCTCACACTGATGCTCGTTCCTTCTCGTGTGCTGTAAGATATATGTACACGGTGGCCCGAGTGCCACGTTCAGTGACGTTCGTCCTTCTGGTGGGCTGTATGGTATGGCCTACGATAAACGATTTCGGAATTCGTGCACGTTACGAGATTAATCAGGAGGACGGAACCAGGTAGCTCGTGGCGAGGACAACAGATAAGCGAACATCAGTCCTATGATCGATCTTTCTTCTCTGATAATGGTTATTTCTTCCTTTTTTCTTTCTTTTTGGTAGATTGACCTTCGGGCCGGGGGGAGTATCGCGACGATACGCGATTCTTTATTTTACATAGTTCATTTGTCACCTATATTGTACTTCATTTATTCTGTATGTGCGCTCATAACCCTTGTTCATATGCTCATCTATTGCATTCTTCCTCATGTCGTGCTTTGCTTGAGCTTTTACATACAGTTTGTAGGCGTCGTCGAGCACCTCATGCAGCGGCATACTATCTTACCATACACATGCTCCCGCCTCGTGAGAGGCTCGACGGCGTCAGTTCTGTTTTCTGGCTCGGTTTGCCTTGGTCTGAACGGTCATCTGGGTGACCGTCGGTGTGAGTCACTACTGGATCTGAGATTTGACCTCTCTGTTGGTGCTAATTCAGTATATATCTGGTGTGCTACATTTCGGCTATATGTACGAAGGTAATCGAGAGGTATATAAATTTCGTGAGTCTAACTTTTTGGAGTTTTTCTTTCGAACACAGTACTCTTCTCACTACCTTTACGCGTGGCAGGTTACTCGACAGCATCTATTGTGTCGCGGTGTTTTATCCTTTATTCTATTGACGACACAAGGAAAAACTGAACCACCCCATTCGGCCATTGTAGAATACATTGGGCCACTTTAAGACCAAAAGTCTCTCCAAAAACCTCAAGACCCACCCGAATAGTAAGGAATAAGAGCTTTCTGCCAGTCGAGTTGGTCTATGAGAAGAAATTTCCACAGAAAGTCTTTTATACTAATTTTACCATTTCCACGAAAGCACTGTCTGTGTGGGTTCAAAGTATCATGTTGTGATCCTTTTTTGAGTGGGAATTCCAACCTTGCCAACCCGCATTCATATACAAAGCCTTCTTCATCTTCTTTCGTGTCGTGTGCTCAATTGATTGAATGAGACACCGATTGGTCTTTTTTAAGATCGGGAAGATCATTTATGCGTAAAGTTGAGTAGTACGAAAAGAATAATTTGAGAAAATTAAGGCTATTCTTCTTCCTGTTTTGAACAAGTAGCGATTGAGAACAACCCTCAGTCAAGGTCGAGAGCTTAGCATCAGGATTTCGGATTTCTCTCCAAACCTACGAGGACGCATGACTGGTTGACGTGCTATTTCGCAATAGGAAGGTTCAGAAGCATGGGGATCCCATTTCTGTGCTCGGTCTTCTTCAGAAAAACGCTTGCCGTGAAG